CCCCACTGCCCACATCCCTCCAGGTCTAAAATGACCCATCCACCACCACTCTCTGGATGCGGCCCTCCAGCCAGTTAGCAACCCGTCTGACTGTGTAGGCATCGACATCACAATCTCCTCATTTTTTAACGAGCATGGAATGAGAGACAGCGTCGAAGGCCTTCCAAAAGTCTGGGAAGACTGTCCACTGCTACCCCTGCATCTAAGGATTTGGTGACCTGGTCGTAGAAGGCCACCAGGTTGGTTTGACAGGACCTGCCACTAATGAACCCATGTTGGTTGCCCCTAAGCATAATCTCCCCTGCTGGCCCCTCGTGGACAAGTGCCAAGATAATTCTCTCAAAAAGTTTACCCAGGATCAAGGTAAGACTAACTGGCCTATAGTTTCCTGGGTCGTCCTTCCTCCCTTTTTTGAAAATGGGAACCACACTGGTCTTCTTCCAGTCCTCTGACACGTCGCCAGAGCACCATGAGTGCTCGTAAAGCCATGCCAGGGGTCCTGCAATGACCTCTGCTAATTCCCTCAGCACTCTGGGGTGGAGATCGTCAGGACTGGAAGATTGTTACGTCCTTCTTTAACCTTCTTGCTTTGTACACTACAGAAAAACAGCTCCTTTAGAAGAAGTCAACCATGAGGAAAGTTTGAACTTCTTACTTTATTTGTTGCTCTCCTCTTGGAAGCTGTCTGTCTACATCTTAGTGTGATGCCCAACACTAGGTATACGCTACAGCTGAGGTCCTACCAGTGCCAAGTAGGAGGTAATTCTGCTGTCTTACTTATGACACTTAACATATACCAGACTGTCCTCTTCTAAAATACAAAACAACACCCCAGCATCACACTGACAACTCATTCAATTTGTGATCCAGTGTAATCCCCGGATTGTTCCCTATTTCATATTCTTCTTCTTAAATGTAGCATTTAGCAAGTGTCTTTACTACATTTCATAATGTTGGTTTCCAACCATTTATCCAGTCTGTCAAGATTAATTTGAATTCTGATCCTGTCCTCCAAAAGACCTGACAATACCTTCCACGTTGCTGTTATCTATCACTTTTTACTCTCCCTATTTCATCATCCAAGTCCTTCACAAAAATTCTGACTGTAAGCAAACCAGAACAGATTCTTGTGGGATCCAAAGTACCCTGCTTTGATAGTGAACCTCTAATAACTATTCTTTAAGAGCACTTTTTAAGCCAGCTCAGCACTCACCTTATGGTTATTTCCCTAGTTTGCTTATGACAATTCCCTATAATCTGATTTCAAAATATGTCACATCATCATTCCACAGTTATCCACAAGCAAGCAGGAAACACGTTCACGGACTACTGTCATTGTGAAAATGTACCTACAAGTTCATCCAGTAATGTCACATCCAAGCACATGGATACAGAATACCTATTCCTAAGGTAACTACAGCAGATCTGAGAACAGAATAAGACCTGTTTTCTTGTAGAAATGCATCTAAATCATATACCGAGCTGAAAACCCCCTTGAACACTGATGGCACTGAAAAAAAAAAAATCAAATCTTTTTTCCAAATATGGGATGTTAACTAAAAACTAAAAAAGACAAACTAAAAAAAAGACTAATTATATAGTCTCAGGCCACTAAAAGTATGGCCATTTTAATGGCAGAATTTAAGACTTGTAACCTGAGGAAAATGCTGAAGATAATGACGTTAAACCAAATATACTCTTTTATACACCAGTGACACCAAGCAGCCAAGAGAGGTGAAAAAGAGCTTCCACATAGACAGAGGGAATAAATCCACCCTCCTCAAGTTGTGGAATCTGTCTAATGCTGCAGTAGGTACTGCATCGGTCCCCACACCTGATAGAGGGCAACAGCAAGTATAGCACAGGAATTTCCCATTGCCCAGACAGGCAAACTGTACAGTGCACCAACTTGCCATGTGGAAACCATGACTTGTGGAGCTTCTCCAAATTGTGTTTTCCCTCCACACGCACAAAGTAAATGGTTACCGTGAGCCCCAAGCATTCCAGAAAAAAAAAAAAAGGCAGACACAACCTTTAACGAAGTATGTGTCACCATAGTTAGAAATGTTTAGTTTTCAGTAAAACTGTAATGAAATTAAGACTGCTTTTCCCCTACCTTGCTTAAAACATTAGTTTGTCTGTTCCCAGTGAAATGATACCTGAACCTTTTCTGAAGAGGATTTAGCATGATTTGCATTGGTAGAATAATAGGTGGTGATGAAGGAAGAGAATACTTTTCTGGCAGTTGTTTTGGTTTGGTTATCAGTTCATCTCTAAGGTTTGAGAGTTAAGGATAAAATATTTTATTGATAGACCATTTATAAAAGCATTAGATTATCTTAGTATCATAATGTCGGAGGGCACAAAGGTGCCTGTTCCTATAAGAGCAGAAATTGCCTATGGAGAGTCCTAAGAGCCAGACAGAAGCCCACAGGTGCAGTTTACTATGGCAACAGGCTAACAAGTAAATTAGCCTGCACCTGCACCCGGTCAGCTGACCAGAAGAGGCAGGGCCCTGGGCAAATATAAACCCCAGGGCTGCGAGTAGCCAGGGGGGAAGGAGTTCTTGGAGAAGCAGCTCATCAGAGAGGCTTGGCTGCCGGGTTCTGCTCTGGGTAGGATTAAGGGATTCCAGGAGCTCACCTGAGACCCTGGCTTATAAGGCACTTAGTGCTGGGAGAAGTTTGATGTTTTAAAGGGACAAAGCACACCCGGAACCGCTTATATTATGTTATAGCCCAGGGGCTCAGAGTTTAGCTGCTGTTTGACTGGTGGATTGGGTTGAGGCTACTGGGGAAGGAGGCAGCCTTATTGGAGGCCCATGACACTGTGGGGACCCCAGCGCCAGTGTGGGGCATGGTGATAAGGGGCTGCGGAGAGCCTGGCACCAGTGTGGGGCACAGCGATACCATCTGCAAGGCTTGGGGTGTGGTAAAGGGGTGGTTTTGGATCCATGCATCTAGCCCATAAGGCTGGGGGTGTCCTGCAGGTCACCCATTTTGAACTGGGATGCCGAAGGGGTCTAAGACCCCACAGGGTTCAGTGGAGTGCAGTAAGACCATGTCCAGAATACAGACTTGAGGGCAGCCTTCCAATTTACTAAAATTACTAGCAAGATGTGGCAGGCGAGAAAGAAGGTGCCTGTTGGGCAAGACTGGCATGGTCAAAGAGCCCTAGGGGTATCACAACCATTCCTGGGGACCCCATCCCATGACACAAGTTCCAGATGTCCCCAGCCCAAGGATTCTCAACCAAGGTTATGCTCAGTATTAGCACTGTTAGATGTGCAAACACCTACATAATTTGCAAGGTGAACACAGAAATATCAAACAGGAATCCACAGTGCCAGAAACTTTCTGATATGTTATAGTCTTTTTGAGGTTTTTTTTCAACAGAAGAATCACTCTATTTTTCCATAGTCAAGAAATGAAAGATAAGCACTGGCATTTTCAAGGGATGCTCTGAGTCCAACACAGTTAAGAACCACAGCTCTAGTCAACTGAAATCAATGTTATACATACCATATTCCCAAAACATCGCAAATATGTTAATATAGAACTAGCTAATTATGTATTTAAAACAATTCAGGTTCTTGAGGACTGATCTGTCATATTAAGTGACAGCAAGTCAATTTAGTTAGGATATCTACTTTATCAGTGTTGCCAAAACATGTAGCCCTCTAACAATCCCACATACATATTAATACACTGACAGAACGCTGCAAGAGCTCGGGGGATTAATAGTGCAGAAGAAGAGCATTTCACCTTTTGGTCACCAATTTATGTGATACAAACTAGCAAAGAACAATTTTATTTATTTATTTATTTATTTTTATCAACTAAGGACCCTTCAGTGGAGTATGTGAAAGTCCATTTCTAGGAAACATATTGAATGCATTAATTCTTAAGTACCAAATCTTCAAACCCACTTTAGCTTGCAAAAGCAGCATCAAGTTTAATATAAAAATTTTAAATAATCATATATTTCTTCTTTAATGTTTGTTCACTGTTTCTACTAAAATTCACCATGGGGGGGAAAAAAATTAATTAAAAAAGGATACGAGATTTGCAATTTCAGAAGTTGAGAAAACAGTGTCTCCAAATTATTGTATACATCTGGAGCACTGCCTGGCGCAGCAAGGCCAAAAACCTGAGACTGTGGTGGCCCAATAAATGGCCAGTGAAGCTGAGTTAATATCGCCTCGAAATCACTGTAACAGAAAATATATCCATTAACATGAAGCTATAATACAGTGGTTCTCAACCAGTGCAACAGCACAGGCACTGCTGTTGGGGGGGGCAGCAACCAGATAAAACTGCCTCACACACAAGAGGACTGGCATGTGAGCACTCCTGCATTAGGGTTCTCTGATCAGCCTAAAGCAAGCAAGACAGCTGGCTTATGCTGTTTCTTCTCCTCTACCCCCCACCCCACACACACACATCCCCTTACCAAAAGAGTCATAATGAACAGTTCTACCTGTCCCACACACCTGTTTCTGGGAGACGCATGCAGGTCAGACCAAGAGAGACTGCAACATGAGCCAGCTCTCTTCCCTGCTTTAGGCTGATCAAGAACCCTAATGCAGGACAAGCATGCAGATGTGCCAAAGCCCTTCCTAGTGTGGTTGTGAAGCAGGCACTGGCAACACTTAAGTGGTTCTTAACTAATAAGTTGAGCACCAATTGTGGTTCTCAACTGGGGATGCCACCACATTCAGAAAGAGTTGTGGAGGGGTGCCCTGACTCTGAAAACATTAAGAAGCAATGCTATAGCAAAATGTAAAAATAAGAGAATGGTAGTACATTCCCTACCTTGAAAGTTTGTCCTTAAGAATTTTATGCCAGAATTGAACAGTGGACCTCACAAAAGCGAGAAGATGAGAACAAGATGATTCCTGAAGCTTAATATCCAGTTCTGCCATGGATGCTAAAGTAGTGGCTGCCTCTGGGACATTATTGGTCATCAGATACTGCTGAATATTATCACTATAAAATAAAGCACAGTTATGGCAAAATTCATTACATATTACTCACCTTACTGGGTAATCAATTAAATTAAGCTTTTTTACAATACTGATTTTTGAGCAGCTATATCAGTACTATAAGTATACATGAGGCGCCCAATTACACTTTTGGCTCAGACCAAAGCCAACAGAACCACTGAAGAGTAAAGCTGAAACTTCTGATGAAACAGTTTTATTTAATTTCCAAGTACAATTCATTTAAATAATATTTTAAAGAGATGTTTTCTTCCCAACTCCAAAATAATAAGAACAAAATGTCAAACTACATAATATACATGCCCTTCTTTCTGTTCAGATATCCTCTGAAGTCCTGCATTTCCTCACCATTAACCTGTTAGATGCTGGTTATGTCATTTCCTATATGGCAATTTACAACCAACTAAATAGATTCTTACTGTAAATATTTCTTCCTACTTACCCTTCACCAATCCCCTCCCATGTACAAAATAAGTTACTACTGTCAAAGAATCAACAAATTAGGAAGTCAGAGTAACAGCTCAAATGAGATACGAATTCTCAATCATTAGCAATTAAGAAGCATTTACAGTTCCAAGAATGTTCTTAAACTTGATTAGTTAACATTAAAGCTTTAAGTAAGATGCAAAATGGCCAAAATAAGGTATTTAGAAATATACATGGGCTTTTTTTTTTTTTTTAACCTTAGTTCTTCTATTCGTGAAATCCACTTTAGGTAAGCAAGGTGTCGTTCCATTTCTTCTATTTGACTAATCAAGACATCAAGAGCCTCCATCCATGGCTGTGCTTTCAATAGGTGATTATCAATTGATTCAGACAGGAGAGTTTCTTCTTCCAGGAGTTGACTAAGAGTCTTCTTAGAATCCTCTGCATTCTTTAAGGCATTTTGAATTCTTTTGGGAACTTCTGATGAAACAGTAAGTACCTGTATTAATGGAAGAGAAATAGGGCTCACAAAAATGTACTGCATTATAAAAAAGAAAACAAAAACATAAAATTGTAGAAAAATAGGGCTCTTGAGACCTCACAATGTCATCTAGTCCAACCTTCTCCTAAAAGTAGGCTCATCTTCGTCTAAACCATCCCAGACAAGTGTCTGTCTAACCCACACCTCAAAATTTCTACTGACAACGATTCTACGTCCCTTCTAGGTAATCTTTTCCAGTGCTTACCCAGTCTCAGATTTAGGAATCAACATTAAATATCTAACCTGAATCTACTGCAACTTAAGTTGATCACTTTTTCTGTTACTGGCAATGGACATCTAAACTGATCACTGGCCTCTTTAACAAGCTATTTCATATTTGAAGACTTATCAAATCTCCTCTCATCCTTTTCTTCTGTAAACCAAGTAGTCCCCAGTCTTCAAACCTTTCCTCAGACATCTTGTTTTTTAGACTTTTAAACCTTTTTTTGCTATCCTCTGGATACTTCCCAGCTTGTCCATACCATTCTTGAACTGTAGTACCAAAAATTAAACACTGTACTCCAAAGAAAGTCTCATTGTTGCCAAATTAAGTAGAAGAATCGCTTCCTATGGCTTTCATGCAATACTCCAGTTAATGCATCCAATATGCTATTCGCTTTTTTGCAGCAGTATTATATTGTTGACTCAATCATCTTGCCACAGACTACAGCCCCCAATCATTGCCTAAGTTTCAGTACTGTAGAGAATCATTCCCCATTTTGTATCTATGCATTTAAACTATTCCTTCCTAGGTGCCGTACTTTGTATTTGTCTTTTCTCAATTTCATCCATATTGACTTTGGAATATTTTTCCAGCTTTGCTAAGTCATTTTGAATCCTAATCACAGGACCATAGAATCTCTAGAATCAGGCCCCAGGGGAGGCACACCTGGGCCAAGGGTTAGTGAGGAACTAGTTAGGGAGCTTCTGGAAGGACTGGACGTATTCAAGTCAGCCGATCCGGACGATCTCCACCCTATAGTACTAAAGGAATTGGCTGAGGTCATTACAGGACCCCTGGCACGGCTTTATGAGCACTCATGGGGCTCTGGTGTGGTGCCAGAGGACTGGAAGAGGACCAGTGTGGTTCCCATCTTCAAAAAGGGGAAGAAGGAGGACCCG